TGCTTATAAAAGTTGTATAAATGTAGCAAGGAATGCTACTTCTCACTTTAAATCATATGCTCCCTGATGATCACATTAAGCATAAAAAAGAGCATGCATATTTTGGCTTAGGACCAATGACATCAGACCAATAAAACCTAAGACTACTTGTCCTTACCAAAGTGGATATCAAACCTACACCCTTGGTGGGTACAGAAAGTAATCAGACCCCATTAAATTTTGCACTCTTTGTTTCATTGCAGCCATTTGCTAAAAAAGTTAATCTTATTTCTCATTAATGTCCACTCAGCATCCCATCTTGACAGAACAAAACAAAAATGTAGACATTTTTGCTAATGTATTAAAAAAGGAAAACTGAAATATCACATTGTCATTAGTATTCAGGCCGTTTTCTGTGACACTCATATTTAAATCACATGTCTATTTCTTCGGATCCTACTTGGGATGGTTCTGCTCCTTCATTGGAGTCCAGCTGTGTTTAATTAAACTGATTGGACTTCACTGGTAAAGGCACACATCGGTCTATATAAGAAGTTACAGCTCACAGTGCATGTCAAAGCAAACAAGAATTATAAGGACGAAGGAACAGCCCAAGCAGATCAGAGACAGAATTGAGAAAAGGCACACATCTGGCCAAGGTTACAAAAGAATTGCTGAAGCACTCAGGGTTCCTAAGAGCTCAGCGGCCTCCTTAATTCTTAAATGGAAGAAGTTTGGGATGACCAGAACTCTTCCTAGACCTGGCCATCCATCCTAACTGAGCAATCCTTGAAGAAGAGCCTTGGTGAGAGAGGTAAAGAAGAACCCAAAGATCCCAATGACTGAGCACAAGAGATGCAGTAGTGAGATGGGAGAGGTTCCACCAAGTCAACTATCACTGCAACCCTCCCCTCCACGGGCCAATCTGCCTCTTTATGGCAGAGTGGCCCTACAGAAGCCTCTCCTCGATGCAAGACATATGAAAGCTCACATACAGTTTGCCAGAAAACATATGAAGTACTCCCAGACTATGAGAGGAAGATTATCTGGTCTGACGAGACCAAGATTGAACTTTTTGGTGTTAATTCTAAGCGGTATTCATGGAGAAAAGCAGGCACTGCTATCATCACCTGCCTAATACAATCCCAACAGTGAAACATGGTGGTGGCAGCATCATACTACGGGTGTGCTTTTCAGCAGGTACAGGATGACTGGTTGCAATTGAAGGAAAGATGAATGCTGCCAAGTATAGAGATATATCCTGGAAGAAAACCTTTACCAGAGTGCTCAGGCCCTCAGATTGGGCCGAAGGTTCCCCTTCCAACAAGACAATGACCCTAAGCACACAGCTAGAATAACAAAGGAGTGGCTTGGGAACAACTCTGTGACCATTTTTGACTGGCCCAGCCAGAGCTAAATAAATAGGACCAGTATTTCATTCAAACTCAAAAGCCACAACACACTATATAACCTCAGGGGAAAAAAAGACTAAAGAATTTAAAGAAAACTGACAATTTTTCAGCCAATCTAATGAATTATATAAATATGCTTCTGTGACAAATATTCTGCTTTGCAATATATAGCTAGGGTTTTTTTTTTTGGGGTAAATTCTTTCTTAACATAAATAAATATAAACAAAGTAAAAGTGCTCCACAGCTCAAAATGCTGTAAAGGAAATTTCACAGAATTAAAACGTAGATATGCAAACCTGTTAGATAATTTTGTTCCTCTCTTAAGGACTGCTGAGTTGCAAATAAAAACTGATTAGTTAAACTGATGAACAGACTTTTGGAACATTTTAATATTGTAAATTGTTTTAGGTATACCCCTCTGAAGATGGCTGGAAGAAGGTGTTTTGCTAAATAATGCAGTCTATAAGTTTTGCAGGAATAAACAATTAAAATGCACCAGTTTGTAGTAGAGCATGCTCCTAGTGGGTCTTTGGAGGTTCTACAATGTAAATTGGAAGGGTTAAGCCATTAAGATATGTACGTCTACTATGCAAAGAGGAGGTATAAGATCAGGTTAACTTTTTGTTTATGAAAAGGCCTCTAAACTCTAAGGCATTGCAATTCAGCCTTCAGTTACTTACATATTTCCGCCACAAGATGGTGTAATTGGGTATTAATTGATCTAAAATGTCAGTTAAAAAAATCAATGAAGAGGAGGTGGACTTTAGGATAAGATAAAAAAAAATCAATGTTGTATTTTAGAAGGACATTACTAAACACAGATAGGAATTACAAGAACATCTACAAAGTAGTGATCTAAGAAGACACAAATATCCTGAAAGACAGCTGAAATGTGTTTGCATGTTGAGGTGGTGTACCTAGAGGAATCCCATTCAGATTGATTCAGCAAGTCCAATTGCACATCCACCAAATACAGATGGCAAATGCAAAAGTGTTTTCAATATAGTTTCACTATATAGTCCACTATACAGTCCCATTCTATATAGTGATGGAGGGTTTTAGGGGTTAGGGCGGACGTTAAGACACAGCCCTGGATATTTGTCTGCTTCAACAGACCTGATTCAGATGATTGTAGTTCATCAAAGCCTGTTAATCTGCAATCAACTGATACCAGGTCAGGTGTCTGAAAACTGGGGAACATCTAAAATATGCAAGGAAGTTTGCATTGAGGACCAGGTTTAAAAAACACTGCTCTAATTCTCTTTTTTATGTTTTACATCCTGAGATAATAATGGCAATCAGAAACAAGTTTTTTTTTTTTTTTTTTAATAGCTGAAGTGGATTAGCGAAATGTCTAAAACTAATAGGGCAGACAGTTTTTGTCATATCGACTCCTCTATAGCCAGAACTTGCTCTCTCCCAACCTTGATCTTAGTGAGTTTGATATAAAGTTCCACAAGAAAAGAAAATTGATTCTGCAAAATCGTGGATGATTTTCTTCATTGTGTTGGTGGAGGAAAAAAAAAAGACTTAGAACTCTACACAATGATTTATTTATTTTTCTTTGCAGACAATAATACAAGAAAAAAAAACTTCAAACATTTCTGTAAATTTCAAACCAACTGTAAATGTGAGCATTAGATCTCACTCAGTCAGTCTCACAGCAAACATTAGCTGCTCTAGTTATACAACTACAGTCAAAGGGTAAGCCCAGGCTTGGCCTCCCATTGGTCAACACACCATGACATCTGTGCATGCAAAATCTCAGGTATTCATCTTGACTTAGCCAACTCTGTAATCAGTTACAGTGGTTGGTGTTGATACTTGTTTGTGAGCAGGACCGATGATGGTTCCTCTCCACCAAATTAGTTTCACAGCCCTCTGTCATTGGACTGAGATAACCAACGTTAAGTCCCCCCTTGATGGCAGGGTGTGCATATTTCATCTGTACTCAATCTCAATACTTAACATAGACAAGAGGCACGTTTAATTGCCAGAACCATTAATTTATTACAGTACAATGCAGTAAAAATGAAATATTTTTTTTATTAAATGTCATAAAGGTAATTGAATAAGAAAAGGAAAAATCTACCTAGCAGTATAGAATCTTAGAACAAGATATAATGTCCAGCTTCACATTTTTTTGTTATGCTAATTTAGCTTGACTATAATGTCTGAATTCTTAAATAAAAACAAAAATAGCATATCAGGTTTTTAGAGCATTAGTATGGTTATAGGTATAAAATAAAAAAAATGACATAAGTTCTAAAAGAAAAATTATTATGAACAAGAACACAATAATTAGTGACATGCATTAGGATTTAGTTACTTCTACTCTAATACTAAATGAAAGCTATATCACCAGAAGATTATATTAGCACCATTGCCTCTCCGCAGTTCCCGGAGGTACCAGGACCTTTCTGTGTGGACTTTGCATGTTGTCTCTCTGTATGTTTGGGTTTTCTCCGGGTTTCTTCCACAGTCCAAAAACCTGCATGTTTTGTTGGTTGGACATTTGAAATTGCCCTTAGGAGTGAGTGTGCGTGTGTGTGGTTGTTCCTCTTTGTGCGTCTCTGTGTGGCCCTGCAATGGACTTGTGGCCCATCCCGGGTGTACTACCCTGTCTCTCGCCCTTTGACTACTGGGAAAGGCTTCCAGGGTTTATACAGGAATAAGTAAATCTATTTTAATGATTTTTAATGCTCCTTTAATACTCTTTTAATGCTCAACAAGTACCTATAATTCTCATATATATATGTGTGTATATATATATATATATATATATATATATATATATATATATATATATATATATATATATATATATATATATAAAGCACAGTAAAATCTTTTGTCATCTTTACAGTCGACAGGCTACAGCCCCAAATTCCTCGTTTTCCAGCCACTTTTGCTGAAGTTTGCATTTTCCAATTCTTTAGCTTTTTCTCTGCCTCGAGCTTCTTTTCCAAACATACGGCTTTACGATCAGCTGAAAGCAGTTCCCCGCAAACATATCGTGATTAAAACATCATGAAATTGTTTTTATAAAGTTTTTCTTTTTTTAATAAAGCATTTTAAATGCCACCATAATCACATTTAATAAATTGTAATGCCAATTAAGGCCCTAATTAAAAAAATATATAATTTAATGACTTTTAATGATTTTTAATGACCCATGGAAACTCTGAGCTCCAGTTCTCCCGCGACCACATTAGGGAATAAGTGGTTACAACAGTGGATGGATGTACGACTGAATATAGCTTTGCTTAGTTGTATTGTCCTTTTTCTAAAAATTACAAAATATACCTAAAGACAAAGACAATAAGGCTAGTGTGTTCAACATGTGTACAGATAACCAGCATTCCCTTGAACAGTTATGTCCTTTTTTTTATTACAAATGCTTAACATTCTGTTCATAATTTTCCACACATTTGACCAGCCTTTGGGGTAGAATAACTTAGAACCAGAGCTTTTGACTGCAGGAGAAACATTAGAAACACTGTAGGGCAAGACACAAACCTTAAAGCTCCAGCTCAGTGGCCGTCCAGGATTTAAGTTTTAAACCAAGGCTAAAAACAATCATGCATCTTCATAAATAGTTTTGTGTCAATTGTACAAAAAATTCTGAGTGAGATTCTAGTATTTAATATGTCTATGCTGAGCTGCAGAATGGCTCACCCAGCTCCTGCTCATATTTATTAACATTCCCTCAATTGTAGATATATTCATTTGCAGTCAGAAGCTAACTTCCTAATGTAGACTAAAGTAATTAAAGCTATGGCAACATCTGTTATAGAATAATGATTTAACGAACACAAGGAAGCATTTTTATCGGGAAAAAAAGTGTAATGTAACCTTTGTGAAATACACAAACACGTCTTGAAAATGTAGTGGTGTTTATGTAGTGTTGCTTTGCCAAAGTTCAAATCTGCTTTATAGAATTATTCTAATTTTACTCATGGTGTTAAAAGCAAGCTTCAAAGAGGTTTGGTGCTTGTTATTCAGATTAGTACATATGCTATATTAAAGGTTGGGATAGTTTAAATAGTATTAAAAAAGGGTTAAACAATCCAATATCCTTAATATGTTAATATGTTCAAATCATAACAGCGATAATAACATGCTATAAACATACTTCTTCCAAGAGAAAAAAAGTTTTTTTTTTTCAACTACAGGGATTTTGCTGAAAATCTTTTCCTTTTCTTTCCTCAGAGACATGCTGTGAGTGAAGCCTCATCAATTCCCATTGCTGACATCACTGGGAGATCATCTGCAGGCTGGAAGCTTGTCTTGAGGCGCTGGAAAAGTTGTGCAGAAACAAAAAAGTTATGAAAATGTTTAACTTAAATGTATGCTAAAAATGTGCAATATCAAGCACTGACCTCCCAGATAGTTCCTTTTCCTTTGGCTAGTTTCCACACCATGTTGAGTGGGATCATAGACAACGAAGACATGGACAAAAACCAGCCAATACAGTAAGCCCACCAAGGATACACATACGAGTTGTTGAACCTCATTGGGGTGTATCTCAGGAGCAAATACACCAAGGATCCCTTTAAAGCAAACCACATAAAAAGAAAAGAACACTGTGGGATCAAAGTTTGACTTTTTATGAGTGTCTAGAGAGCTTAAAAGACTTACAAAGCTCAAAAGAGGGATAGCATACATCCAGCAGTACTTGATCAGTGGAAGAGGTTTGTACCCAATCATGTCTTCAATGTTGTCAGAGAAGCGTCCAGCTCCTAGGACAAAAACACTGCTTTACCAATGAGTAAAAGGGATAACTAATTTTTAGTTGCTGGTTCAAGGATGTGTAAATACTGTACACCCTCCATAGTAAATATGTAAAAGGCTTTGAAATAAAATATACATTTACACTTGAAATATACCTCTGTTCTCTCCCTTTGAACAGTTATGTCTATTTTATCAGTTTAATCATCCCCTTAACTTGTATAGTGGAAATACTCTATAGGCATCCATCTAGCTTTAATTTTCACAGTTTGAAGTCCATGTAAAGTAGCAGTAAAATGTGTTCTGAGTTTCTAAAACCATAAAAATCTGTGTTTTTGATCAAACAGACAAATTTGAAAGTAAAAGAAGGTCTCAAAAGTAATAAAAAAAACCCACCAGAATTCTCTGGTCTGAAACAGTGAATGTGACATGACAATGGCTTGACTAGTTCAGGAGAAAGTGAAAAAAAATTCTATTAATGAGTTCAATACACAGAATTCAGCGGTGTGACGTCAGCCTTTTATCCATATATCCATACATTTTCTTGAGTTGTATTAGGGGCAGGGTCGCAGAGGCAACAGTCTAAGCAGAGATTCCTCCAGCTGATCTGGGGGGACCCCACGGCGACACCAGGCCAGCTCAGAGACATAGTCCCTCCAGCGTGTCCTCCAAGTGAGGTGACCAGGAGGCATCCAGAACAGATGCCCGAGCCACCTCACTGGCTCCTTTCGATGTGGAGGAGCAACGACTCTACTCCGAACTCCTCCCGGGTAACTGAGCTCCTCACCCGATCTTGAAGGGTGTGCCCAGCCACCCTGCGCAGGAAACTCATTTCAGCCTCTTGTATTTGTCATTACCCAGATCGCATGACTATAGGTAAGGGTAGGAATGTAGATCGATTCATAAATCGATCCGTAAATCGCACGCTTTGCCCCCGGCTCAGCTCCCTCTTCACCACAACAGTCTGATGCAGCAGCCGCATCAATGCCGACGCAGCACCGATCCGTCTATTGATCCATCCGTCCCTCACTCGTGAACAAGACCACGAGATACTTCAACTTCTCAACTTGAGACAAGGACTCTCCACCGACCTGAAGAGAGGACTCCACTTTTTTTTAAGTGGAGAACCCGGGCCTTTGATTGAAGGTTTGACTATCGGCTGGATATACGTGACGACTGAGATGGGGAGCCATCAGAAATGTTAGCCTTTTAGCCACACGCAAACATTCCTGAAACACAGAAGTCTCAAAATCTAAACTAGTTTAACTTGTTAATAGAATTCTCAACCGTCAGGAGACTTTTTATAAATTTAGAATAGATTCACATTTTTAATGTTTGAAAAAAAGTGGCCTGTCTTTAAATTGTTTAAAATTTTTCACTTATTACTCTGACTGTGAATATGGGTATAAGAACCTGTACACTGAAAAAAGGGACTTTTTTGCTCTGTTAATAGTAGCTCGGTTTTTATGTAAAATTTGCTGCAAAGTGCCATGTGAAGTACTTTTACCCCAAAATAACAGATTTTATTTAATGTGTTACTTTGATTTAATTTGTAAATCTATATGCATCAAAATATAAATACATATAATTCCTCTCATCAAATAGTATTAACGAAACAATTATGATAAGTTACGGCCTTAACTGATGCAAGTACTTGTATATTAGGACCATGTTTAGGTCAGAAATTATGACAGAGTATTTTTTAGTCAGTTTATTACGAGAATAAAGTTGTAACATTACGAGAATGAAGTCTTAATATTATGAGAATAAATATGAAAAATAACGAGAATGAAGTCATCATGCCACACACCCAATTTCAGAAAGAAAGCTTTGAGCTCCAACTAGCATATGGCGGCCGACCAGCACCACCAAACAGCAATCTGAGTCCACTTTGACATACTGCACAATTTGATGCTGGTGTGCTAAAAGATTTCCTTACTTCTAATTATATTAGAACTGTGTTCTCATAATATTATGACTTTATTCTCATTATATCAGGGCTGTGTTCTCATAATATTATGACTTTATTCTCATTATATATGGACTGTGTTCTCATAATATTATGACTTTATTCTTATTATATTAGGACTGTGTTCTCATAATATTACGACTTTATTCTCATAATGTTACAACTTTATTCTCGTAATTTTAAGACTTTATTTTCGTAATTTCATGACTATTGTCATTGCGACTTTATTGTTGTAATTTTACAACTTTATTCTCGTAATTTTATGACTTTATTCCCATAATATTCAAACTTTATACTCAAACAAACAAACAAAAAAAAAAAAACTCTACTCCTTAGTTGGTAAAAATCTACTTAGATTTTACTGAGTGAAATTTACAAAGAATATCTATGTGGAAAAATTTACATAATTTTTTTAAAGTAAATGGTACTCCAATTTTTTTTACTCTAGTCAATTTCAAAATTATGAAGAAAACATGACAGGTTTCAATGTACTGATAACATTGACCATAAATATGGTATAAATATGGTAGAATGTTTTACGTATCTGTTAGAAATGTTTTACATTCTTAGAATATTTAAATCATAACACAAAAGCTTCTTTTTCACATATGGTTACTGGTTGTGTGAAGGCATTTATCCTCAAACAACTGTTCACTGTTCACTACTTAAATGAGTCTATTCAAAAGTTTACATTGCCTGACAACATGCACACAAGTTGACATAAGTGGTTTCAATGGCTGATAGAGGAAACCATCCTCAAGTGATCTGTTTGTTGTAAGTAAAATGTTTATGAGTTTTAAGGCTCTTGAAAGGGCCTTACATCTTTTATCCAGTGACAGCAAAATATTAAAAAAAAACACTGTAAACCACATGAAACAGACACAAAAAGTAAGCAACAATGCCAATCAGCCACATGCAAACTCTATTTAAGAAGTGGACAATTAAGGAGATTCTGTTGAAACTACATAACACTCAGATCAAACAACAAAAATTAAAGGTACACCATCACTGCACACCACTGTTAAACACAGAGGGGAACTGCTGATATTGTGGGGACATGTGTGAGCTTTAAAGGCACACAAAATTAGGTCTAAAGGAACAGCTTGGACAATGATTCAGAACACAAAGTCAACTTGACCTCTCATTGGCTACATTATAGATTGTAGAGGTGCAGTTCAAGAAAGACAACCTAGGGAATCAAATTAAATCAAGGCTTTTTGCCAAGGAGAAAAGGCGGCTTTACCATAAGAGAAAGTTAAGCCCATCATCCACAAAAAACTAAGCTACCAATTATGCTAAAGGTACAATACACTGTAAGAACTAGAATATGAAAACTTTTGAGTGAGTGAGTGAAAATATTGATTGAGTTATCTGTCATATCTCTGAAAAATGGCTAAATAAAAATGTTGAATGAATTGAAGGCTTTGTAGACATCTTTAACAAAGATGACAATAAAAGTGTGTTAGGACATTCATCATTCTCATACCTAAGCATAACACTCCAACCTAAAGTAAGCCTGATTTTTTGTCATAATGTTATTTTCAACTTCATTGTGTGGTCCTTAATACATTAAAAGCACAATATGTAAAAAAAATGTTTTGCATAACTGCTAAAACTGTCTAAACCTGACAGTCTGCTGCTTCCTTCCAGTGGTCCTACTGCCTTTTGCAAGACAAAAATAACCAGGACAGGAAAGAACCAATGTCTTTACAGTGCCAATCACACCTGTGTACATTCAGCTCATACCCCACCCCCACTGATTACATGCTGATATTCAAGCTCAAGATTGTCAGTGCGGTGTATCTGCGTGTCACTGTAAAGCATATATTAATGTTGGTCACACTAGTAAATGTAACTTTGCTTACTAGCCTGGAATAAGGAATGAGAGACACTAAGGGTGATGGACCTGGAAGGAGGGCTTGTTCAAATTTTCAGGCTAAGACAACAGTTCATTAAAAAATCCCAAATGCAGCTTTAGGCTCTCATATTTCTATGATGAAACTGTGTTTTTTCTTGTAACCACTGCGCCATCGTCTCTCTTCTGTGTTCAATGCTAAAGTTGCCATAGCTGCTGCATGCGCCACATGTGCTTACATGTGCACATTGCAGACACATGCGCTTAACAAACTATAGTCCTTATTCATACACGGTAAGTAAAAAAATAACTAATCTGTTTAAAGAATAATCATGACTAACATGTTACAAACACATTACTTAAGAGCACTGTTGTATACTGGATGGTAAAAATATAAATAAACACAAACATGCATCGTTCCAAAGACAGCTTTCTCTCACCATAAATCCATCCAATAATCACTGATTGGCAGATTGCCATCATAAGAAGTGTCGGACCGCTGCACACATAGTGATCAAAGATCTGCAGAATGTAAATGCCGGCCTGAAATCAGAATGTTAGTTATCAATTATTACATACCCAGGCTTCCTTGGTCAGAAATGTGTATAAAAACTGTGAAGTAATTAGTATTTAGGAGAACCAAATTCGCAGAATATGCACCTGATTAATTCAGAAATAAGTAACAATTGTTTCCTTAAACTCACCTCTGACACAAAAAAAAGGCCAAAAATAAAGCTACAGGAACAGATCATCAATAGTAAAAGCTCTCTGCGGTATCCTTTCCTGATCTCGGAAGGACATATATCAGATAATGAGGTAACAATACTTTCCAAACCAGCAAACTGAAAAAAGAGTCACAAAGAGATAAGTTACATTGAGAACATATTATGGGACACTGGACATTTCTAATAGATTTAGGATTTATATTCTACCTGACTGTCAACTCCTAACAAAATGATCATGGAAAAAAAGCACATGGACCAGAACTGAGGCAACGGTAGAAGGGTTACCGCTTGAGGGTAGACTATGAAGACAAGTCCAGGACCTGTAAAATGAAATGTACAAGAAATAATTTATTTAATTTCCATTTTCACTTATATTATTAATATTAAGGTAGTACTTGAAATAAGCAGATTTGGAAAAGTACCTGATTCAGCAACAGTGGAAATATCAACACCCTGCTTTTGTGACATGTAGCCAAGAATTGAGAAAACAGCAAATCCTGACAAGAAACTGGTTCCACTGTTCACCAGGCAAAGGTAAAAAGAGTCTCTACAAAGAACAAGACACAAGCAGAAACTTACATCAGTGTTTTATCTTTAAGACATGCACATGAATTATTAACAGTTTGGCAATCGTATTACAAGAGATAATACAATATATGGCTTATTGTAATGCATGCATAATAATAAATCAGAATTTGGTCAGAAATATATTAACCTGGATGTGAAAATTTTATATTAGTTCATATAAGTACCACTGAACTTGACTACAGCGAGAAACATTATTCTAATTGGAAATCAATTCAACTGAAAAAAGATTCAAAAAGTGCTAGGAAGAGAGTGGGTGCGAGAGGTGGGTTACACCATTGACAGGTCACCATTCCATCACAGGAAACGTTGTTCCTCCATTTATCCTCTATTCCAGTTCACCTTGCAGCATGCAGCATTGTGAGGTCAATTGATAAAACATGAGGTACACCTTGGACAGTTCGCCGCTCCATCACAGGGAAACACAGAGACACACATGACAAACAACCATGCATAGACACATTGATACCAAAGAGCAACAGAGAGAAACTAATGTAACAGTCCAGTTTTTGGGTACAGTCCGATTTTTTTATGGGAAGCAATTTTAGTTATCTGACGAGTCTGTCTGATGGTGCAATGAAAATAAGCTTTCTTTCTAGCTGACAAAAGTCAGCATCAGAAAAACTCTGCAAAGATATTCACTCACCTGTAACAGTCATTGTTATACTTGTTGTAGCTTCCAAGAGTAGTCAAAAAACCCAAGCATAGAGCAAATGAATAGAATATTTGTGTTCCAGCATCTATCCAGACCTTTAAAAGAGGAAAAGCAAGTTTTTTTCAAATAAACATTAATACATTTAATGGATATTTTTTTTAAGTGGACTAATTGTAGTGGTACCTGTGGGTCACCGAGTCGACTGGGATTGGGGTACAGATAGTACTTTATACCATGCAAGGCTCCAGGAAGAGTAATGCCCCGCAGAAAGAGTAATACTAACAATAAGAGGGGCAATGTGGCCGTGAAGTATGTTGCCTGCATGAAATGGAGAAAAAAAATAATTGTAAATATGCTAATAAATTTTCCAGACACAAAATGAAAATGAAACATCCTTAAGTGAAATTGGCAGCTTAAAAATCATTTTAACTAAAATCAAGCACCAATTAATTTATTTATCTTTTTTTATACAGTGTGAATATAGCATGAACCTAAAAAGCACCTCTATTGTCTCAACTATAGCTGTATTTTCATCAGATGTTTTTTTTTTTTTGTTTACATTTGGATTTGTTTAACTTTTGCAATAATTATATCATTTCCTTCATGTAAACGGAGCGCACAGCAATATTGGCAATACGTTTAATTTATATGGAGGACCAGCTCTACCATATTTAAAAATAAATACAGAAATGAATAAATGCTCGATAAATAAATAAGCATACAATTAATTGCCGAAAATATACAATAAACTAATAAATGTTCATGCTCTAATATTTTTGTCTGTTTTATTCTTGTTAATTCTAAATGGAAATGCAAATGGAAATAAATAGCATTGAAGAAATAAATAGGGTAAAAAAATACAAAGGAAGAATAAAACAGACAAAAATATTATAACATGCACATAAATAAATACTTAAATAATAAATAAAGATTATAACAGTTAAAGATTATAACGGACAATAAATAAATAATGTAATTATTACAAAGGCAAATAAATAAAGAAGCTAATTTAAAGAGATATATACATTTATGTCTTACTGTATAATTTAATTTCTACCTACATTTATTTTTTGTATATTGTTTTCTTATTTATTTATTGAGTATTTATTTATTTATGTATCTATTTTTAAATATGGTAGAGCTGGTCCTCCATAAGTTAAAAAGATTATAAAACTAATTAAAGAAAACATTCCTCAAAAGTTAGACAGTAGCACAAACAGTTCCAGTTTTTTTAAGGGCATTCTGTCTAACCTGGATTTGTATAAGGGCTTAATTTTAAGAAATTGTTTCATTTACTTTTTCTCTTTGGCTGCTGATTGTCTTCAATACATCTTTTATAGTAATCTCATTTTACTTTTTAAACAGCTAAAAAAAGAAAAAAAAAATCCATGGAAAAAGAGTACACTCTATAACTTGAATTCAAACCCTATAATGTTTCAAATATAAGCTGTTTGTTTGTGTGAATAGGTAAATACAAATTAAAATGTGTAACAAAACAGCCTGTTTACATCACTAAATTTTAGCTAAGGCACTTGTTAAATTTATCCCAATTATTCTCTTACTTTCCCAGTGGATCTAACTCCTTTCCAAACACAGAAGTAGCAGATAATCCAGGACAGAAGAAGGCACAGAGAAAGATCCCATCGTATATTTCCCAAGGTCTCTATGCCAGTGGATATATTCAACACCCGTCGCCTATAAGATATGACACACTGTAAAGTTATGTACAGAAATCTTTAAAAAAAAAATTGTATATTTTTGCAGTGTATATTATATTGTTAATTATGAACAGAAGCACTAAGAACTATCTGTGCAATGTTTTCTCTGTATGATATGGCCCAATTAGAAGTGGAAATACTTTGCAACTCTATCAGTGTTGTAACTTCTTTACAGTTTGGGAAAGAAGCAAAGTTGAGACATTGCCTACCATTGTAAGTGCAACTGACAGCCAACAAGAATCAGTCACAAAAAAAAAAGAAAAATAAGAATAAACTTTAAGGTTGAAGAATATCCTAATAAGAAAATCTGCTAACAGAAATAATCGTATGTAAACAAAATAAAAGTGTACATAAAGAGTACTGAACAGCAAAAAAAATTAAAATCTATAGACCTTTTAATCATGGCAAATCACCCCTAAATCAAGGGTGGATATTAAAAAAACAACAGACAGAGGAGGTGGAGGAGGGCTTGAAAAGAGGGGTTAAAAAACAAACCAGGTTAACTCAGGGTGCATAATTTTGGAGGAACCCCCTCATTCATATAGACACCGGAATAGTTCAGCTGGAAGAGCATAGAAGAAAAGCAAAATACTCAGGCAGATGTCGGGGAGGTTGTCAGAGATGAAGCCCAGGAATACAGTGAGAGGCAGAAGAATTCCTGGAGGCTACTGGTGACAAGGACAAAGTTTTGGAGGCCAACAGTAGGGGAGATGATGCCCTGAAGGCTGGTAGTTGTGAGGACAGGCACTGCATGAAAAGTGGGATTTTCGTCAATATGCGGCACTGTAGATTGTTGTGGAAGTTCAGTTTAACGGCAGTTTACGGTAATTTGCAGGCTTCGCCGAAAACTCCCATAAATTGTCAGAAATTGACGTGGACTTTCTTAGGCAGTGTTCCCCCCATGCCTCCCCCCCATGGAATTCTAGGGGAGGCTTTAACATGTAAATGAACATGCTGTGAGCTATACAAATGCAAATCAGGGTTGCAGGGGGAGTTTTACCCCAAGTGACATTTTTCTAAAAGGTAAGAAAATCTCTGATAAAAAGAGATCAGGCTCAGTATAGACTCTTACATTTTAGCTTGAATTGATTTATTTAATTAAAGTATAGAGACCAAAACAGATCTTTAGCTGACAGAGCAATACATTTAGAGCAGTAATTATATAAAAAAAAAAAATTGCATTTAAGATAAAAAATAAAATGTTGTCTGTCAATATGCTCAATTCACAATTACTTAAGTGGAAAGTTTCAAGAAATGAGTCTGAGATGATTCACTTTATAACATGGCACATTATCCTGCTGGAAGTAGCCATCAGAAGATTGGTACACTGTGGTCATAATGACATAAGGTCAGCAACAATGCTGAGGTAGGCTGCCTCATTTATTTGATGCTAAATTGGTATTAAGTGGCCCAAACTGTGGCAATAAATATCCCCCGAATAGATGGTACAAATAGATCAGGCTCAGTATGACCTAATTATAGACGTATACATTTTAGCTTCAATTGATTTATTTAATTAAAGTATGCTAGATTACTGTGTATGCCATTAGCAATGGCAAATGTTATCTAAAAAAATACACAAAATAATTTATTTCAAAAATTAGTTTTAATCAGAATCAGTTGGTAAAATGTGAATCAGAATCAGCAAGGTAAAATGTGCATTCCTTGCACGGTGCTCCTTGGGATTTTTAAAGCTTGGGAAATCTTTTTGTTTCTAAATCCAGCTTTAAACTTCTCCACAACAGTGTCTCGGACCTGTCTGATGTGTTCCTTGTTCTTCATGATGCTCTCTGCACTTTAAACAGACCTCTGAGGCGATCACAGAGCAGGTGCATTTATCGGGAGACTTGATTACACACAGGTGGATTCTATTTAGTATCATTTAGGTTGACATTGGATCATACAGAGATCCTCACTGAACTTCTGGGGAGAGTTTGCTGCACTGAAAGTAAAAGGGGCCGATTCATTTTGCACACCCCACTCTTCAGTTTTTTATTTGTTAAAAAAGTTAAAAATATCCAATATATTTAATTACACTTCATGATTGGGTAAAACTAGTTGTTGATTCTTCACTAAAAAATTTTCATGTTCGATGCCTGAAATGTGGCAAGAGTTTGAGATTTTCAAGAGAGCAGATTATTTTTGCAGGGCAAACTGTAACTGGGCTGATATCTAAGGATAGCTCTGACAGGGTTTCACTTGCCAATAACGTACATTTATAACATAAGTTTTAGTGGTTGTAGAAGTAATAGAAAACACAGATCTGGGAACTGGAATTCTAGCAGCACTCCTACATTATTCTCTACATTTTCTCTCTGTTGTCCTTTCTTTCACAGTAAATGGTATCGGCATCTCAGATATGTTAGATTTGTTTACCAAGCTTTCCTGTCTGACCCTTCAAAACAATCTACCATCAACAGCATTGTGTTGTAGAAGCTTTTAAGCAAGAGCCTTTTTTTGGTTTTTACAGCACATTTTGGAGTTTTTACGGCACTAGTGTCTCGTTTTTTTGGCAGTAGGCTGGCAGGAAAGGGGGTATGAGAGAGGGAGAGACATGCGGTCAAGGATTCGAACCCAGGTCATCCATGTCGAGGACTAAGGAATCTTTCTGTACATGGGTTTTGTGCGCTAAACACTGGGCAACCAAAGCACACCCTTATGCAACAAACTTTTAAACAATTTTCCCAACATTTATGGAGAACAGCAAAGTTGCTCTTTTGTAGTTTTTATTATTTTCACCTATAAACATAGAAAAAGTCAGCAGCCTTTTGAAATGTTCTGTAGTATGGTATAAATAAAGATTCTCCAGAACATACATCTCCAAAGCCTGCTATTTTCTGTAACACAAGTTGTGCTACCCACAGTAATTGCTGATAAAAAGTCTAAAGACTGTTTTAGAATTTTCATATTTCTTTATGCTATTACTAGTTTTAAATCTGCGGTAAACCATTGTTTTACAGCAACTCCTCTCTCACATATACAATATTACATCTTCTAATATGTTTCCTTAAAGACTGTTTAGGACAGGAAGCTACAAAAAGTTAAATGACCATAAACTCAATGTAAACCCCTAGCTATTATTATTTTATGTTTATTTTATTTATTTGTTCATTTATTTGTATGTTTGTTTCCCTTGTTTTATTTTTATTTATTTTTTACATTCTATGTCTCATTTTTTTTAAGTTATAATGTCACCAACTGCTGTGTATCTTTGTTTGATGTTTGAATTACTCTGTATTGTTACAGGGAATTGCCAATAAAGCAAAAAAATAAAAAAATAAATAAAAATGATAGACGCAGCTGTTCTCGCGAGTCCTTCCGTATAACAATGACCTCGTATGTGATTGGAGGAGCTATACTCAGAAGAACTTTATCTCCAGTTCCTTTGTTTGGATTTTGCTGGTACGTGATCAATGGCTGGACGACGTCTAGCGTTCAACTCGCCTTCAACTCCTCTTGGACGCGATGGCGACTCTGCAGTCGAACAACTGTGCGGGAGAGACGAACTCAAAGAAGAGAAGCTAGCGGTAAATATATGTTCGATTACTGCTAGCTAAGCTAAAAGCTAAAGCTACGGCTAATAGTAGCCTAGCCTAAAGCTACGGCTAATAGTAGTCTTGCAAGAACAAGCTTTATTAAAGTGTATTTTTTGTGATTCACAGGAAGCAGTACGCCGTCTTCACACTCGGAGACAAATTGCAGGCACTATGAACCGGAGCAAGGGTAAGAGTTAAAGAATATGTTTTCATTCTGCGGTAAAAGGAAATAGATACGGATTGATACCGATCATAACTGTACATTTTGTTTTCACAGACTAAGCTTGCCTCATAATGAGGCGGTGACCTCCTATTATTCATACCACTCTCATTTAATTGTTTTCCAGCTGCCTGTAAGACGTATTATGAGACGGTACGCAGGAGCTTCAGATATACGCAGCCAGCGAACACGTTGCGCGCGGAAGCTGCCAAGCTTTCAGAAAAGAAAGAGAGTAAGACTTTATTTGGTGACTATTTTTCAGGTGCATTGATAGATGTGTTGTGTCCATACGCAGTGCATCCCATTGCATAGTGCTGATTCATTGTTTTTTTTTTTTTTACAGCTGCTGAAATCGAGGCAGAGTGTGCTAGCTGATGAGGAAGGGGAGCTCTGGAATGGCTGCTGCCATTTCGTAGGCCGGATCTCTCTGAACTCTGTGTTAGGCTGCAGTCCCGGTTAGAAGCGATGCCGAAGTACAGGGCCACGCACAGTAGGCGTCTGCACATCGGACCTGCCTCGGAGGGAATGCTGCCAGTTACCTCCAACCCCGAGGAAGCAAACGGACCGTTCACGGACTTGTAATTTTTGGATACGCATGTGTGGGCAGATCCTCGCGTTGTATATAGTTGTGTTTGTTTTAATAAAGCTCTTTCTTTGCATAAACAGCTTCCTGGCAAATGTTCATTTCCTGTATAAATTCATTCATGTCCTTGATGGTAGCCTAATAATTATGTAGTAGTGTAGGATAACATAAATACACAGCATATGAATAAATAAATATATGAATGAAAAAAGATATGAATAAATAAATAAATAAATATATATTTATATATATATATATATATATATATATATATATATATATATATATATATATATATATATATATATATATATATATATATTTACATATAGAGGGATTATCAGGCAACGTCACTCTACGTCGCTTCCGGCCCCAATGCGCATGTCGCCTGCAGAAAGAGCCGCTAACATGTCTTGTTGTGCTGTCTTTTGCACGAACCGTTTTGATAAAAAACAATAAAACGCGCAAGTTTTACCGAATCCCATCAACTCGCACCCCTTTCAAGGCAAACAAGAGACGTCTTTGGTTGCAAGCCATCAGAAGAAGCGATTGGAACGAGCAGATGATTAAAAATGCATCAATCTGCAGCGATCACTTTATATCAGGTAAGTCTTATCTATAAAAAAGCTAAACGGCAT